AGGGTTTCCTGTGCCGCAGGGCCCGGGGGTGAGCACAGACAGCATGTTTAGAAACTGCTGGTTATCTCACCGTAGGTCAGCTGTTTCTGGGAAGCATTGGGCTTTCCTGGAGATGACACGTGACTGGTGGCCGTCCATGGAAAATGTCTGGGAAGGTGAGAGAAAGAATGGAGCAGAGAAATGGGGTGAGGGAACCAACCTTGAGGTGATCATTTCCAAGCCTAGAAATCAATCTTGAGGAAACTGAGGCATGGGTTGTCAGTGAGGCATCTGCCCCCCACTTAGCTCTCAGTGTTAGCCTAGCAAGGATTGGAGCTCAGTCCTCTGGGACCAGTTCGACATTTCTAGGGTCCAGAACCAGAATTTGAGAGCGGGGCTTTAAGGGCCTAACACCCATAATAGCGTGTCGCTAAGTAAATTCAGCAGGATTCATTCTAGGCTTTCCGTCCTGCCCCTGCCTACCTTCCTGGGTCTGTAGTAAATGCCGTGTGCCGGGTGGTTAAACGCATAGGCTCTGGAACTTGAGTCTCGGTTGGAATCCCACTTACTGACAGCGCGACCCTGGACAAATTCCACAAGGCACTGATGGAAACGGGGGTAATCATACTAGCACAACGAGGATTTTGCAGGATTGAATGAGTTCATGTGTGCACAGCGCTTACCCCAGGGCCTGGCACACCCTAAGCTCTATACAGATGCCATACCTTCCCACGACCTTAAACACCACCGTCCTGCATTTTAGGTAACTACGTGCTATGACAGGGTACGTCTGTGCTCCATGCTTTATTTGCCCTGCTCCCTACAATGAGATTTTGCTTCCAGTTTTTCTTGTCGTCAACAACATTTCGATGACTGTCCTCATAGGTGGGGATTTGCTCTCGTCCTTAATTGTTTTCTCTGGTTAAATTTATAGAAGTAGGATTGCCAGGTCAAACAGGGGACTTGTCTTGAAGGCTTTTCTGGATAGACGCGGCCACATTCTCCTCCAGAAAAGTACTCGTTTACACTCCTTCCAGCAGTGAATGAGTGTGCCAGTTTGCTTGCATGGCCGGGTTATTAACTTTGAGTCAAATGAAGGCCCAGGAAAAATAGGAGATATTTCCCCGGGGATAAAGTGTTCCTCGTCCCTGCTTATAAGCAATAAAGGCTTAGGAGAACCTGTAGAGAGCCCAGGAGGCAAGTGGTGCGCATGCAAACAGCGCCCTCTACTGGTTTTCCCGGGTGGAGCATGGTGAGCTGCAGTAGATGGGGATGCCCAGGTGGTTTCTAACTCCAGAGTGGCTGCAGGTGCCAGCGGCTAAAGGGCAACATTTTACCAAGACTTTCGGCCATTTAAAAAGTCAGCCTCAGGGGTGCCTGGGTGGCGCAGT